CACTAAACACCTGTAAAATGTCAAAAGCAGGAACAATTTGTTCGTGCTCTCTTTTGTTGCCAGGGTTCTAGTTTTTCTCTGTCTTGAGGGCATATTCCCTGTTGTTTTAAAAAGAAAAATCCCCAAATGGTGGTCTTGAGACTCCAATCTTTAAAAAAAGAAGAAAGGTTTTCGAAAGATCCTTGCATAATCTTTATATCTGCAAGAGGAGCTCAGCAAGTTTGAAATTTAGGAAACTCCCTGGAACTGAACAACTTGTTCTGTGCTCTCTTTGAAGCCTGAAGGTTGCCCTTAACTTTTGTCAGAGCAGACTAATTGAAGTTAACAGCCACAATTATCTTAGGGCCGTTAATATCAACAGGAACACTATGAGTAAAAGTTAGTTGCAGCAACCCAATATGCTCTTGTCGTAGAACAGAACTTTAACTCGACTCTGCAGAGTTGTAGCTTCAGTTCTTAACAATCCTGTTGTGTAAACTATTTTTTTTCTTTTATAATAATAATAATAATAATAATAATAATATCACCACCACCCATCTGTTAAATACGAAGAGGCCAGGCTGCTTTGCGGGCAGAAAACTCGCAACCTACTTTGGCGATTAGAAGAGGTAAATTAAAGTAATTCTGTTGAAACCAGGGTGTTGCAAGCTTGCAAACATTTATCTATGGTGCAAAAAAAATGTGACCCAGCAGGTCCAGTAGGCAGTGGATAAGAAAATGTGTATCTAAAGTGCAGGACTCTCAGGAAGAGGGACCCTTTCCCCATTATCTGCTGGCTAAGAGGGGATTGAGCATAGCCAACTGTTCCTGCAGTGCTGGCTGGTGTTAATCCTCCAGGAAGAACCATAGCAACCTCCCCTTAAATGGAAAATGGGTTACAACTCCCATCAACCCCAGCCAGTGTGGTGTAGTGGTTAAGAGCGGTAGGCTTGTAATCTGGGGAAGCAGGTTCGCGTCTCCGCTCCTCCACATGCAGCTGCTGGGTGACCTTGGGCCAGTCACACTTCTTTGAAATCTCTCAGCCCCACTCACCTCACAGAGTGTTTGTTGTGGGGGAGGAAGGAAAGGAGAATGTTAGCCGCTTTGAGACTCCTTAAAGGGAGTGAAAGGCGGGATATCAAATCCAAACTCTTCTTCTTCTTCTACTGTTGTTGGCATCCAAGAGACAAGGGAGTATGCCGCTGGGGGTGAAGTGAAACTGTTGCATTAGCTGCACTGATGTGACCTCCCCAAGGCACAAGCCTGGGCAATGTGCTTGAGGTCCTGGGCTGCCAAGACAACAAGACTCCTTTCTCTCAGCCAGCGATCACCTGCTCAATCACCTGGCCCTGGAACGGAAGATTTGAGTCTGGGCAATAGTTGGCCATGATGGCCAGGTCCAAAAATGGTTTTGTTAAGAACCGGTTTAATAAAGCTGACTGGGAAGACTCACAGAGGAAGCATTCACTACCCCACAAAGCCCATTGCCCAGCCTTGCCTGGCTTGTTTTTATGAGCCAGGATGGGCAAGGATCAAGGAGATAGGTGGTTGGTTTCACTCGTCCAAGCAGCCTGTCCACATCCTCGGAGGTAACAGTTTGCAATTGATCCCATGCAACTTGACTAGGCAGTGCTCCAGTACTCTCTGGCCATGGCCCTGCTCCCTCTTTCCAAATCTGAGTGACTTTATCTGCAAAAAAAACCCTTGCAAAATCATTGCAGGAGATCTTGGGGTCCTCCCCAGATCCCTATGGCAAAGGTGGTTCTGTTAATATTATGAACCATCTAGTACCAGGAAGAGTACCAGGAAGAATGGACGAAATTTAATGACTACTTAGTTAAATAGGTTAAGTTAAATTAATTAGAAAAAGCTTGCAAATGCTGGATAGGCTCAGGATTTAAATATGTAAAGTGATGAATTAATATGTTTAATGCTGAACTGGAAAGAAAGAAAGATGTTAAGTGATTAAGTTAATTTTATAAGAATATCGATTTGGAAAACCGTTATAATGAGATACACTGAAATCTAACCGGGGGATACGAGGAAGTCACTTAACAATGTTAATTACATTAGTTTTAATAAGGTTATGATTTATGTTTGTTTGTCTATTCGTCTGTGTGTTTAAATTTTTGTGAAAAAAACAATAATTATTTTTTTTTGGGGGGGGGGGAGACTATGAACCATCTAAAAGAGTCTCCTGGTACTGTTTTCTGCAGATGCAATAGAGTCAACAAAGAAGGTCCTCTTCACCATCACTGTCACCGCTCGGCAGGCTCCATGTTGAGCTCTAACCTGTGTTCAGTCTGCTTCAGAGCGAGTTTTTCGCCACCAGCACTCTAGCCGTCTCAGCAATTGTTTCATCACCCTCAGCTCTGGGGAAAATCAGGGGGCCATTCAGGTTCCATGCAAACAGAGAGGGTGCTTTGGAACCAGGCAGCTGCTAGCCCTGGTTAGCTCATAGCTGTCAACCGTCCCTTATTTGGCGGGAAAGTCCCTTATCCCAGCGCTGTGTCCCGCTGCTGTCCCTTAAATTTCCCAGGTTTCAAAGGAAGTACAGTGGTGCCCGTAAGGCGAATGCCTCGCAAGACGGAAAAACCGCTAGACGAAAGGGTTTTCCGTTTTGAAGTTGCTCGCAGGACGAATTCCCCTATGGGCTTGCTTCGCAAGACGAAAATACCTTGCGAGTCTTGAGATTTTTTTTCGCTTTTCCCCCCCTTTATCTAATCTGCTAAGCCTTTAATAGCCTTTAATAGCCTTTTAGCAGCTAATCCCCTAAGCCTTTAAGCCTTTAATAGCCGCTAAACAGCTGATAGCGCTAATAGCGCTAATCCGTCAATGGGCTTGCTTCGCAAGGCAGAAAAACCGCTAGACGAAGACTCTTGCGGAGCGGATTAATTTCGTCTTGCGAGGCACCACTGTAGCTCCTCTCCCTCTCTCCCTGCCGGCCAGGGAGGAGGGAGGCTCCAACTGGGTTGCTTGGCTGCGTTGCTCACCCATTAAGGAGTCTAAGAATGACTGGGGGTGGAGCTTGCATGCCTTGTGCCGATCAAATCGGCCGCATTGCCTGGGGACTCGCCTTTGCTCAGCGCTTCCCAGCGGAGAGGTGACGGTGGTTTTCCTTGCTGCATTCCCTTTGCCGGGTTGCTGCGCTGTGGGAACCACCGCTTGAGGCTTCGTTTGGCTGCTGGCTGGGCTTTCTGCCTTTGGCTCGGAGGGGCTCAGAAGTTGAACATACTGTGCTGGGAAAATCCCTTATTTTGGCTGCTGATCCCTTATTTTCGAGGCTGCTGGTCCCTTGTTTTCAAATCTGTAAGTTGAAAGCTATGGGTTAGCTCCACATTACAGTGGGCCACCAGGGAATCTGCTGCAAGGCCATCAAGATAGGAGCCAACTCCTAGGGGCCTCCAATCAAATATTTGAAGGGGACATCCCTAGGGTTGCCATATTTCAAGCAGTAAAATTCCTGACACCTGCTTAAAAACCACCAAGATTGTTAAGCTTTTTGGAGGGAAACAAACCCAAATTGCTGAGGTGTTTTTTTGGCAGAAGCCTAACCCGGAAATAGTGATTTGGAACTGCTTTTCCCATCAGGTTGCCATACATCCGAACTTTCCCAACGTTTTGACACCCAAAAACCAGGACACTTCATGTCTGGAACTTCATGTTATCAATTATATGCAGGTTGGAGTTTACCTCCGCTGCAATATTTTATTCAAGTTGGCACCCCGGCCATAAAACATGGGCCATCCTATAGCATTGCATCCTCTCAGTATTGCACATTATAGTCCCCTTTTCACAATGGTGATCATAATAATAGCAATATCGCATATGCAGTTGTTGTTGTTGTTTAGTCGTTTAGTCATGTCCGACTCTTCATGACCCCATGGACCAGAGCATGCCAGGCACTCCTGTCTTCCACTGTCTCCTGTAGTTTGGTCAAACTCGTGCTGGTAGCTGCGAGAACACTATCCAACCATCTCGTCCTCTGTCATCTCCTTCTCCTTGTGCCCTCCATCTTTCCCAACATCAGGGTCTTTTCCAGGGAGTCTTCTCTTCTCATGAGGTGGCTAAAGTATTGGAGCCTCAGCTTCAGGATCTGTCCTTCCAGTGAGTACTCAGGGCTGATTTCCTTCAGAATGGAGAGGTGTGATCTTCTTGCAGTCCATGGGACTCTCAAGAGTCTCCTCCAGCACCAGAATTCAAAAGCATCAATTCTTTGGCGATAGCCTTCTTTATGGTCCAGCTCTCACTTCCATACATCACTACGAGGAAAACCATAGCTTTAACTATACGGACGTTTGTTGGCAAGGTGATGTCTCTGCTTTTTAAGATGCTGTCTAGGTTTGTCATTGCTTTTCTCCCAAGAAGCAGGTGTCTTTTAATTTCGTGACTGCTGTCACCATCTGCAGTGATCATGGAGCCCAAGAAAGTAAAATCTCTCACTGCCTCCATTTCTTCCCCTTCTATTTGCCAGGAGGTGATGGGACCAGTGGCCATGATCTTCGTAGCAGTAACTCAGTAGCAGTAGCGCAGCTTAATTATCAGGTACCCACGAGGCGAGATTTAGATTGCAAATTGGCTGTTTGTAAACACACGTCACGTTTCCTATTGCACCATCGCCTCCAGATATATTGCACCATTGCCTTTGTGTTTATTTGTGTGCGTCTGTGTTCACCCTTCCTCGCCCCACAGCGATCCTGGGGGTCACACGCAACCTTTGCAAGGATGATGGAACGAGGAGGAAGCGGCGGCGCAAGAGCGAGCGGGCGCGCGCGCGGCCCCTTTAAGGAACCCGGCTGCTTGCGAAGCCCCGCCCCGCCCCATCTTCGCCCATGCCGCCTCCGAGCCAATCCGGAGGCGCCGAGCGGCCGTCACGCCAGCCCCCGCGACGGCCTCATTGGGCGACGCTGCCCTGGCGCCAGCGCCGCGCGGCCACCGGGCGGCCTATCCGCCCTCCGAGCCAGGTGCGGCGCCCGCTGATTGGCTGCTGCTAGGGGACGGCCGTTGAGGGCACAGGAGGGGAGGGGGGCGGAGGAGGGAGGATGGCGATGCGCTTTCTTCGGGGTTGTCCCGGCATCTCGGCAGAGGAGGCTGTACGGGCGGGTAGGGAGGAAGAGGAGCCGCCAGGGACTCATAGGGACTAGAAACCCTTCCAAGGAGACGGTAAGAGTGGGCAGGGGGGTGCAGATGGGGCAAAATACGGCAAGGGGCGGGGTCACAGGGAGATAGGTACGTAGGTAGGTAGGTGGGGGGCGAGAGGGAAGACCTCATAGGGACTAGAAAGCCTCCCAAGGAGATGGTAAGGGTGGGCGAAATAAGGTGGGGGGCGGAGTGGGGGGGCAGGAGGGAAACAGCGGGGTCGCAGGTAGTAGGTAGGTAAGTAAGAAAGTAGGTAGGGGGAGGGAAGGGAAGCCCTCATAGGGACTAGAAACCCTCACAAGGAGACGGTAAAGGTGGGCAGGGGGGTGCAGATGGGGCAAAATAAGGTGGGGGGAAGGAGGGAAACGGCAGGGTCACAGGTAGGTAGGCAAGTAGGTATGGGGAGGGAAGACCTCATAGGGACTAGAAGCCCTCCCAAGGAGCCGGTAAGGGTGGGCAGGGGGAGACAGATGGGGCAAAATAAGGCAGGGGGCGGGGTGGAGGCAGGAGGGAAACGGCAGGGTCACAGGTAGGTAGGTAGGTCGGTATGGGGAGGGAAGACCTCATAGGGACTAGAAACCCTCGCAAGGAGACGGTAAGGGTGGGTGGTGGGGTGGGGCAGGAGGGAAACAGTGGGGTCACAGGTAGGTGGGGGAAGGGGAGTGGGGAGACCTCATAGGGACTAGAAACCCTCCAGGGAGGGTAAGGGTAGGGGGACAGAGAAGGAGTGAATTAAGCCAGGGGGATGGGGTGCGTGGGAGAGAGGAAAATTACAGGATCACAGGGAGGGAGGGGAGGGAAGACGTAATAGAGATTAGAAACCTCCAAGGAGGGTAAGGGTGGGGGGGTGTAGAGCAAGGGGAGGGAAAGATCTCATAAGGACTAGAAACCTCCAGGTAAGGTAAAGCAGGAATATAGAAGGGGCGAATTAAGGCAGGTGGGAAAGAACACAGCAGGATCATAGGTAGGGAGGGAATGGGAGGACATCAAAGGAACTAGAAACCAGGGAGAGGGAGGCTAAGGGTGGGTTGGGATCTAGAAGGGGTGAATTAAGTCAGGAGACAGGTGGGTGAGAAGAAGAGTGGGTAAAAAGGAAAGTAAAAGGTGAGGGGAAGGCTAGAGTAGGGTAATGAAGCCAGGTGGGGGAGGAGGAGGAATAAGAAATTGGGAGTGGGAGAGGAAAGAAAAAGGAGAAAAGGAAATTGCTGATTCCACAGGGTGGAGAAAAAAAGAGGGATTTGGGGAGAAGGCTGGGCAGGGCAGGTCCTCATTAAATCTTATCGCTCTGGACACCCACATATTGGCAGGTGAGACTGGAAGCTGATGGAGCTGTTCAAGAAATGGCTGGGCCACCCAGAAGAGCTCTACAACCTGGTGAGGTTTAAGATGGGAGGCTACAAGACGGTGATGCCCAAGATGGACCAGGTGAGTGAGCAACAGTGCACTGTGTTGAATGGGTGTGGAAAGAATGGGCTGTCTTGTTCCCTGGTTTTTAATTTGTTCCCTGGTTTTTAATTTTGCTGGCTAGGAAGGCCCTTAGCTCGGTGGTTACAGTGCCTGAAGTGTCCCAGGGTCGATGCTCAGTGTCTCTTAAGCAGGACTGGAAATGTTCCCATCTGAAACTCTGGAGAGCACTGCCAGTCTCTGACGGTTCAGTATCTTGTTGCTCCCAGCGGCCAAAGGACCTCATAGGGCCCAAAGACCTCATAGCGGCCAGACAGACACTTCCAGGAAGCCCACCATCAAGCCATTAAGGAAATTGCATTCCCACAATGTTTTCCCCGCCCTCCAGCAACTGGCATATTAAGTGATAGCCTGCCTCTGGACATGGAAGTTCTATTTAGCGGTGCTGCCCAAACATCGTTTGGGAAGGGGCTGTAACTCAGTGGCGAAAACATCTGCTTGGCATGCTTTTTTATTGGATTGGTTGTGACTCTCCTCGAGTCGCTCATGTTCAGGCACATAAAAATATTTTTTTAATAGATAAAATAGACCAGTAATAGAAAAAGATGGAGATGAGGAGCTGTTGTATGGGGTGTATGTCTTATTTTCTCTTTTCCCGTTCTGTTTTTTTTCATGCTTCATGCTTCTACCTTGTCAAGGAAGTGAGAGAAGAAATCATGGTTTCAGAAGGGTGGGGTGGGGCTGGAGAGACTCTGAAATCTGTAAAGTATTTTCAGACATATTTAATACACATTTTTAGTCTATTAATTGCAGCCGTTTAGCCAGAGACAATGGATTCATACTGTTTCCCAAAGTCCACAATCTAATGTCAGTCATGCAGGATTTGGAGCAGGTGAGGCAGGAACAAAGACAGACAAGAAATAATTGGAAAAAAATATTAATTTATAGCAATCAAATAAAATGCTATATTGTGAAATTACAGTGCCAGACAGGTCTTAAATCAGACCATGACGAAGCACTCTTGCACCTTAATTATGAATTGCTGCCTGTCAGATTTTATGAAAGGTATCAATTATATTTATTATGACTTTATATGTGCAGTCAGCTTGCCTGTCCTCTGGACAAATGGTTTTGTTCCGTTTTCTTCCTTTCTCTTCCTTTCTCTCTTCTTTAAAGCGAAAAGCCTTTTCCCCCCACCAAATATCTCCAGCGGGATCTTGGGCCAAATCGCACTGTGCTGGAACTGCTGTTTTGGAGCACTTGATGGAAATTTCTTCTTGTAGTAGCAGCTGGGGGGGGGCTACTTTGAATGCCAGATGCAGTGATGTGGGATCCAAACTTTCCTGCACAACTCCCTCGCCTCATTGCTATTTCACATTGCCCCAAATTCTCCAAGAAATCTTTGAAAATGGAAGGCAATTAAGTAAAACCCTTGTGGACATATTTATTTATTATTTATCTGCTGCACTTATTTCTTGCCATTTTTACCTCCAAGCTTTTTCCTCCAAGGAGCTTAATGTGGTTCTCCCCTTCCCCATTTAATATCCACAACAAGCCTGTAGTGTAGGTTAGGCTGAGAAGCAGTGACTGGCCCAAGGTCACCCAGTGAGCTTCATGGCTGAGTGGGTATTTGAACCCTGGTCTCCCAGGTCCTTGCCCAACGCCCGACCCTCCTGCTGCTAGTTCTTTCTGATTCCAGAGCAGAAGATTTAATTTAAAGAGAAAAGGCAGGAATTGTTTGTTCCCCTTCTGCTCCTAGGATGTGCAGAGTATCCACACACCGGTTTCCTTTAGTGCGGGGCCACATTCCCTTTCCGGGGGGAGGCCCAAATGCCAGTGGTGGGTGGGGGAGAAGCAACAAATATAATTTCCCCCTTTCCATGGTAAGCAACATTTCACAGTCCACTCTGCATCCTTCATCCAGGCAAGCCAAAGGCATCTTGTTGGAAGTTTTGGCCAGACCGAAAAGGAACACAACCCTTGGGTGGAGTGGGCCCACTGGCTGGGGAGAGCCTTGGGGGCCAGACTGAGAGGTTCCCCAGCCCTGCTTTTAGTGCAAAGGGTTAGCTAGCCAAGGTCTGGCTGAGTCCCAGGGCTGGCTCTGTGTCTGCAGGGTTCCCTGGTAACTTGCCAGTCTGTGCATCCCGGTGGGAGCAGCTGAGACTGGGGACCGCACCATCATGTCCTTTTCCCACAGTGCTCCAAGGTGACGCCCCATCGGGTGCTCTGGGATCTTGTTGGAAATTTAAAACTCTGTGAGTGTGACTTTGTGGACCCAGCCACTGCTGCCAGACAGCAGGTGTGGGAGCTTCCTTCATCTGAGGATCACAGGGCGGTTTAGAAGATAAAAATACAAAAATAGTAACAAACAATAACACACACACATCCTCTTTAAAGGCCGGAGATGGTTTAATTAGCCAGAGTCCTGGGAGAAGAGGAATGTTTTCCCCGGGCGCCTAAAGATATGCAATGAAGGTGCTGGGCGAACTTCCCTGAGGAGAGCATCCCACAAGCGGGGAGCCACCACAGAAAAGGCCCGTTCTTGTGTTGCCACCCTCCAGATCTCATGGAGGAGGCACATAAAGAAGGGGTTCAGATGATGATTGCGGGGTCCAGGGCAGTTCATACGGGGAGAGGTATTGGAGCCCGGGAATGCCCCCAGGGTGCAGATGTCAGCCCTGCTGAATCCTCTCCACTAGGTCTTTGTTGGGCTACCTCTCTCGTCATCCCTGTTCACTGCTGGTGGTGTGTGTATTTATGTGTGCTCGCACAATGATGGGAGTTGAAGGCCCAAATCACAGATTTCCTCCCCCCCAACACTGGGTTCATTAGACACCAACATTTAAGTGCAGCAGTTGGCGTCTTGACTCTGAAGAGAGCATCGCTGAATAGCTCTGGCGCTAACTTGACAAGTAGGAAAAGCCAGCAGGGGACTTAAGCCCCAGGAAAATAAGTGCCAGGAAGCTCAGAGGTACTTACTTCTCAGCAAAGACACAGTGAGGGAACCGCCAGAAGGCCCTTGGTGCTGGACCTCAGTGTCTGGACAGAATGATGGGGGTAGAGACGCTCCTTCGTATACAGTGGTACCTTGGGTTAAGTAATGTTATTAAATTATTTCAGCACATAACAACTAATGAACCATCCCACCCTACTCCCAGAAGCTGGTGTTCAAGCAATGCATACAAAGCAACAACCAAATAACTCAACTTCTTACGCCAGGCTACTATTTGGATAAAAGGCGATACTCAGTTTAAGTCAAGCAAAAAGTTTTATAAGGCTGTTTTCGTTATTAGCTGAAAACGCAATACGTACCTAATGCGCCAGGCAAAACTATACCTCTTCTCCCAGGCCTTTGGCTAATTAAGCAAACTAGGACGTTTCAAATTCAGCATGCGTGTGGGGGGAGAAAATCGTTTATGATGTCTTTTTATGAATTTTTTATATTGAAAACTGCTCCCTGATCCTAAGAGGAAGGGCAGTATAGAAATTTAGCAAGTAACAGTCGAAATAATAAAAGCCGTGCCGTTCGGTTAAGCAGGAGTCTCCATGCGCTCCAAGACGCGCAAACGGTAAAGCCAAGTGCTGTTTAGTGGTTAAGGCGTTGGACTCGGACCCCGGCCGCGTGAGACCCGGGTTCAGATCCGCACGCACTCTCCCGCCACTCGGAGCCTGACCCACCTCGCACGGTTGTTGGTTGCAAGGATAACGCCGGGAGCAGGAGAGGAACCTCCGGCTGTTGGGGAAAGGTGGGAGATTCGAACGCGGCGAGAAATGAGATGGCAATTTAAAAGCGCCTAGGATCGCGCTGTGGATCCTGCTGCGCTTTCGTGGCGTGGGGTGGGGGGGATCTCTTTCCCCTTGAATGAAGGGAAAGGAGGAGGAAAGGAAAAGCTGGAGTTTGTTTCGCCCAGGGCGCTTCTGCAAAGAGCCTGCAGGGAGCGCCCGGGGTTGGTTAAGTGGGCCAGGCGCGGCGCGGCGCCCAGGGAGGGAAGGAGGCGGGCCGGCCTCGGCTGCCTTCCCTCCCCGCCGAGGGAAGGGGCGGTGGGTGTGTCCGCTTCCCCTCTGGCTGCGCGCGCCCCGGATCCTTTCCCCCGCGCCCATGGCACGGGGCCAGGCGGGGGCCGTGTTGCTGGCCCGCTGAGTCGTGCGCCCGGGCGCGCCCCTCGTTCCCTCTCCATGGCCAGCGGCCCCTCCAAAGCCGCAACCTCCCTTTTCAAGCGTACTTTGGCCCTTTCCCCGCCCCGTGCTGGAGGAGCAGCCGGAGGATCGGGGCCGGGCGGCGGCTGCAGCAGCTGCTGTTGGGCCGGGGGCCGGGTGCGCTCGGCGTCCGGCCCGCACCGCCTCCAGCAGCCCCAGGCTCCGCCGCCGCTGGCTTCCCGGGGGACCCGTTTCCTGAGCGCGCCGCCGCCCTCTGTGCTCTTGTTGCAGGACTCGCTCAGCGACAGCCTCCGCCGCTGCTACCAGTACTTGAACCAGACCAGCCGGAGCTTCGCCGCCGTCATCCAAGCCCTCGACGGGGAGCTGCGGTGAGTTCCCCGGGGCCCGGGCGGGTGCGGGGCGCAGGGAGCGAGGGGCGCGCAAGCTTGCACGCTGGCCAAGGATGGAAAGGGTTAACTGCGTTGGTCTGGAAAGGAAAGGGTTAACCGTGCGCGCGCACGGGTTTTGTTATGGTTGCAAGCTTCGTGGGTTTTTCCCCTCCCCCTGGGGGAGGAGTGAAATCCGAATCGAAGTCCTGTGCCAGGCAGTGCGCTCCGAGTGATCGCGAAAAAAAGAAGCTTTGCTACTGTGCTCCGCTTGGCACCGCCTGCGGGGCTGGAGCCTGGAAGTTTCAGCGCTGCAAAGCGTGGGTAGGTTTTCCTGCAATCTGGCGACCTCTTGCTAGACTACAACTCCCATCAGCCCCCAGGTGCTGAACATGCTGGCTGGGGAGCTGAGAGAGTCCCAAACTCTTCCGGAGGCACAAGGTTCAGAAAGGCTGGCTTGTAATACTGTACTCTCCAACATTTCTCTGATGAGCACAATTCAAAGTGTTGGTGCTGACCTTTAAAGCCCTAAACATCCTCGGTCCAGTATATCTGAAGGAGCGTCTTCACCACCATCATTCTGCCCAGACACAGGTCCAGCGCCGAGGGCCTTCTGGCGGTTCCCTCCCTGTGAGAAGTGAGGTTACAGGGAACAAGGCAGAGGGCCTTCTCGGTAGTGGTGCCCGCCCTGTGGAACTCCCTCCCACCAGATGTCAAAGAGAACAACAACTACCAGACTTTTAGAAGACATTTGAAGGCAGCCCTGTTTAGGGAAGCTTTAAATGTTTGATGCATTACTGTATTTTAATATTATGTTGGAAGCCGCCCAGAGTGGCTGGGGAAGCCCGGCCAGATGGGTGGGGTATTAATAATAATAGTAATAATAATAATAATAATAATAATAATAATATATTGTTGTTGTTGTTATGTACCCCAGCCACTCTTGGCAGCTTCCAACATATATAAAAACATAACAAAGCATTAAACTTCCCTATACAGTGCTGCCTTCAGATGGCTTAGGGGTTGGCTAACTCCACACCCTCTAACATTTCTCTGATGAAAATAGAGACCATAGCTATCAACTTTTCCCTTTTCTTGCGAGGAATCCTATTCGGAATAAGAAAATTTCCCTTAAAAAAAGGAAAACATTGACAGCTATGATAGGGACATGTTAAGGAAAACGGGGACATTCTGGGATCAAATCAGAAACCAGGACTGTTTCTGTAAATCCAGGGACCCTTGGAAATATATAGAATGGACAGAGGTTTTTATTTATTATTATTTATTAATTTTTTTAATAGAGGTTTTGTCATTGCAGTTCCTGCATTGCAGGGGGTTGGACTAGATCACCCTTAGGGGTTCCTTCCAGCTCTGTGGTTCTGTGTAAGGCAGCCTTTGCCTGGTTGGGCTGTTTTCTCCATTGACTGCCCAGGGCTGTCAGCTCTGACCGGCAATGGCTCTCCCCAGCAGATGGTGGGTGTTGCACCTGGGTCCTTCTGCATGCCAAACAGCAGTGCCCTTAGCATGGAGGGAGGTCCCAGAGCATGAGCTCTGCTTGCTGAGCAGACAGCTCCTCCCCCAAACAAGGTATTGGGTTGGCCTGTGAAATCAAGAGAACATCGTGGTTTGGCAGCTTCCACCAACTTAAAAAGATCCGACGCCCATTTCTTAGGAGGCGGTGAAAACGCAATTCCAGGAAGGAATTGCATCTGGCTTAGCCTCCTGGTGCAATTCTCCTGGTGCAATTCTCAAACTTCCAGCATCAACCTTTCTTAAGACCATAAGAACAGCTTGAACAATAAGCTAGCGGCTCACCTAGTCCAGCATCCTGCTTTCACATTTGCCTTTTGCTGGTGCAATGCCAGTCTCCTCTGGAGTAAGGATATGGGAGCCAGCAGCATGCAGTCTAGCCCCTAATGAAATCTAGATTGCTTTTTTGTTGCTGTAAATATTGAATTGATTCTGTTAAATCGTTGGCTTTGGACCTCTTGGAATTCCCTGGCATGCTCTGCATTTTGTCTATTTGAATTCTGAACGTTTGCTGTTACTTGCCTGTGTCTTTCGCAGCCTATTCTGGCACAGCACACACCTGTTGCATCTTAGCAAGTTCAAGATATTCTCTGAGCTGCCCTTTGCATCACTGCAAACGGGCCTCCTCCTCCACCCTGTTTTATGGGCACACGTAAAGTTAATTCCAGAGCAATTAACTTTAATTTAGCCGCCTCTGAGAAAGAATGAAAGGCGAAGTGCAGACAATGACACCGTTTCCTATACATAGCGGAGTGTGTGTGTCTGCGTGGGGTAAAAAAATGCAGGAGGTTTCCTGCAAATTGCTTCAGCCAGACTGCAGAGGGTGACCCAGTCTTGCTGCCCATTTAACAAGCTGGCACAGTTAAATATATGAAAATGAAGTGTTTCATCCAGGAAAGTGGTGCTGATCTGTAATTATAATAGCAAAGAACTGGACTGAATTTTGGAAAGTTAAATAAGATAAAAATATATTGTCCAAAACCGGTTTGAAGTCCATAATGTGATATCAGTTATTGACCTGGCAATATACAGTGGTACCTTGGTACTCGAACGGCTTGCCTCCCGTACAAATCGACTCCCGAACGCTGCAAACCTGGAAGTAACTGTTCCGGTTTGCAAGTGTTTTTTGGAAACTGAACGTCCGACGCAGCTTTCATTTGAGGGCAGGAAGCTCCTGCAACCAATTGGAAGCCACACCTTCGTTTTCCAACGGTTTCCAGAGTCGAACGGACTCCCGGAACGGATTAAGTTCGAGAACCAAGGTACCACTGTATTGCGAATCATGATGTGTGCGTTCAAAAATCACCATGAGGGAAAAACCATGAAGCCATCCAATGTTTCTCTCGGTTCCTGCAGCCTCTGTTAACTCTGTCGGCTCATAGCTCTCCCCTGCCTCCTGCAGGGGGGCAGCAAATCACAAGAGCAGGTCTTGGCAAAAGTCACAACACAGGAAAAACAGTGAATCCAGCCAGTGCCTCTACATAGCTCCATCCTTATTTCAGACATGGTGATATATCGGTATATTATGATGCTTAGCTGGAACCCAGATATCAGCCAGCCCTGTGCGCTGCCTCCACAGTCAGAGGCTGTCTGCTGCAGAATTCCAGTTGTGGGAACTGCAGATGGGTGGCATGCTGCAGCCATGATGGTCTCTTGGATGGCTTCCCCGTAGGGCATCTGGTTGGCTACGGTGAGGACAGGATGCCCAGACTAGATGGGCCCCTGGGCTGATGCAGCTCTCCCTGCAAGGTTGATGCTGGCAGTCTTTGAATTGCACCAGGAGGCTCATCTGGAGCCGACACGAAGTTCTTTTATTTGCAGCTGTGTGCTGCGATCCTTCCTAATAGAAACGAATGATCCACAGTGGACTTGCGATAAAGTTAAGAATGATGATCTATAATGAACTTAAGAAAATATTTAAATATACCTCCTCCCAAAAACCAGAAGCCTTCCTGCTGGGTTTGATGGGGAAAGAGATCAAGAAATCGGACCAAAGACTGTTTATGTACGCCACAGCAGCGGCAAGAAACATGTTGGCCCAAAATTGGGAATTACAAGAAATCCCCACCATTTTGGAGAGGCAGATGAAAATGATGGACTATGTGGAGTTAGCCAAGCTGACCGGCAGGATTCGAGATCAGGACGATCGGAGATTCATAGAAAGTTCGAGTAAATTTACAGTGTACAGTGGTGCCCCGCAAGACGAATGCCTCGCAAGACGGAAAACTCGCTAGACGAAAGAGTTTTCCGTTTTGGAGGTGCCTCGCAAAACGAATCTGCTATGGGCTTGCTTCGCAAGACGAAAATGTCTTGCGAGTTCCTGGTTTTTTTTTCCTTTCCCCCTCTTTTCTAAGTCGCTAAGCCGCTTATCAGCTTATCGGATAAGCAGATAAGCGGCTAAAAGCCGCTAAAGCCGCTAATAGCGCTAATAGCGCTAATCCGCTAATCCGTCAATGGGCTTGCTTCGCAAGACGAAAAAACCGCTAGACGAAGAGACTCCCAGAACGGATTATTTTCGTCTTGCGAGGCACCACTGTACTTAAAGGATAATTGTAAAACTCTAAAAACACTGGCAGGATTGAAATAACTCCTACAATGCAATAGATAAGAGGTTTAGTATTAAAATACATGATTTAAAAGAATAAGGGAAACCTGTTGAAGGGAAGGAGGGAAGTCACAAGCTCGGCAGAGCTAAAAGTATATATGTGGTTTGATGTATTGTATAAAAGTGTTGAGAAAAGAATAACAATTTATTGATTTTTTTAAAAAGAAAGAAATGAAGGATCCACAGAGCTTTCACGCTGGCTGAAGTTGCCAAACACAATGTTCTCTCTCTCCTCCTTTGGCTTCCCGTCATTTCACAGGCCAATCTAAGGCCTGGTTTCTGGGGAGGAGTAACCTCTTGGTAGCACATGCTTTGGGGAGAAGGGACCTCGCTCCATGGTCTGGGCACCTGCTTTGTCTGCAGAAGAAGCCAGGTTCCATCCCCAGCATCTCCAGGTAGAAAGGGCCAGGTGGCAGGAGACAGCTGCTGCCGGTCAGAGTAGAGTATTCTGTGTTGTGGGTGGGTAGATGGCTACCAAACAGTCTCAGATAAAGGTAAAGGGACCCCTGACCATTAGGTCCAGTTGTGGCCGACTCTGGGGCTGTGGCGCTCATCTCGCTTTATTGGCCGAGGGAGGCGGCATACACCTTCCGGGTCATGTGGCCAGCATGACTAAGCCGCTTCTGGCGAACCAGAGCAGCGCACAGAAACGCCATTTACCTTCCCGCCGGAGCGATACCTATTTATCTACTTGCACTTTGACGTGCTTTCGAACTGCTAGGTTGGCAGGAGCAGGGACCGAGCAACGGGAGCTCACCCTGTCGCGGGGATTCAAACTGCCGACCTTCTGATCGGCAAGTCCTAGGCTCTGTGGTTTAACCCACAGTGCCACCCGCATCCCTAAAACAGTCTCAGAGGCAGCCCTAAATAATATCCTGTCTCTTTAGGAGCTATGGAGACATAGGAAGCTGCCCTTTACTGAGTCAGACCATTGTTCCATCCAACTCAGTCCTGCCCACACTGACTGGTAGCAGGGGCTTGGACTAGTTGACCCTTGGGTCACTTCCAATTTTATTATTCTATTGGCTCTCAAGCAGGACTTTCCCAGCCTTTTCTGGAGATGCCAGGAATCGAACGTGGGAAGCCAGCTGCTTGCAAGGTGGATGTTCCACCCCCTGTGCTAGGAGGGTCCTTCAACTCAGACCTCTTTCCTCCTCGTCCTCAGCCATGCTGTGTGCATCTTGTACCTGGTGCTCCGAGCCCTGGACACGATCGAGGACGACATGACGATCAACCTGGAAACCAAGGTCCCCATGCTCCACAACTTCCACTCCTACCTGTATCAGCCGGACTGGAAATACATGGACAGCAATGAGAAGGACAAGCAAGTTTTGGAAGACTTCCCGACGGTGAGCAATTTGGCCAGTCGGTCCTGCGTTCGTGCGGTCTTTTTAAGTTGGCTGTGCAAATCCTGACATGGTCAGTTTGCTATAGTATCTGCAAAATGGGTGCTTGCTGGCAGCAGATAGGAAGTTGGTTTTATGATGGTCTCTTTCTGAGCCATCTCTTCTCAAGGGGGTTTAGCAGCACTTTTAAGGTGCCGGGGGGGGGGGGAACAACAGTGTGGCCCCCGAATTCAATTAAGTGCCTCCTATGATGCTTCAGTCTTCAAGGGATAAACACAGGTCTTAGACGGGTCTAACTACTGCACGTTCTGGGAAGTTGCTCGCCTGATTGCGAAGTATGTGGACGCCTCTTGAGATATAACTAAATTTCCTGAGAATGAAGAGCAGGTTTCTGTCTGTGTTTGGATGCAGTTGGGTGCCATTTTGAGATGTGCAAATTTTGTTCTGTTTTGTTTTTTTTTTAAATCATTTTTATTTGATTTTACAATACAAAATTATTTTAAAAATTCAAAAACATAACCATATACAGAGATTCCCCGGAATCTCAGGACTCCCCCCTCCCTGGAGTCCCATTTTAATCAATTAAAACTGCATCTTCTTCCATACTCTATTATATCAATCCATATTTTCCATGGTGATTGCTGCACTACTAGTGAAATCAAAATCCTTCCAGTGTTTCCATCTGCTTACGGTAGTCTTTTAAATAGCTTATAAATTTTCCCCATTCTCTTGTAAAGTTTTTATCTTCTTGATTCCCGAGTTTTCCAGTCAACTTTGCCATTTCGGCATAGTCCATCCGCTTGGTTTGCCATTCTTCTAGTTGGGTCCCATCAAGATGGTGAGCTGGATCTTTCACAACTGACCTGATTTTAACCACTGGTTTCAAAACCGCACTGACATTTTGGGTTTCTTAGAATTTCTGAGCAATGTCAGAGACAAGGCCGCTGGCTCCCTATTAGTGCGAAGGCAAGATTCGACAATTGGTTTCTTGAAAAAGTTACCACATCAAATGCGTCCTTAAAGTTGCAGCTGGACAATAATCTGGTCCTGAACCAAGGGGCGAGGGAGACTGTGGCCCTCTAGATATTATAGACTCCAGTTCCCATCGGTCCTAGTGAGTGATGAGAGATGATGGGAGTTGTAGTCCAATACTATAGGTTCTCCACCCCTGCCTTCAAGTTACTATAATTCCTGGGCTCTTTGGCTGCAATCCCATAACCGCTTTCCCGGGAGAAAGCTCCACTGAACTTGATGGGACTTGACTTCTGAGTAGACCTGTGCCTACTATCAAAGTGGTTACCCTTTGTCAGACTGGTTACACTTTGGCCCTAGAAAGAGGTGTATAGGTCCGTTTCCCTTAAATTCAGAAACTTCATCCTTACCCTTGTTTTGAATTAGCTCATTTCGTTTCCTCCTGTCACTTGTGGTTATCGCCTTAGATCTCCTTGGAGTTCCGCAACCTGGCAAAGATCTACCGAGATGTGATTGCTGACATCTGCCACAAGATGGGTCTGGGGATGGCTGAGTTTTTGGAGAAGAAGGTGGATTCTGAGAAGGAGTGGGACCAGGTGAGCAGAATTAGGAAGGGGTCCCCAGGGAATCTACTTGGGGCTGAAACCTGTGTGTTCAGGAAACGTGCCGAAATGGATCCAACTTGCAGTGTGGGATGTCCTTCATAGGTTTAGCAGTTGGCAGGCAAAATCATGCGCCCCTTGCTCCTTGGTCTGTTTCTTATTCTTTATTGCGTCGTCCTGTTCCAATTGCTGCTGGCGGTTCCCTCATTGCGACATGTGAGTTTACAGGGAACCAGGCAGAGGGCCTTCTCGGTGGTGGCACCCGCACTGTGGAACGCCCTCCCATCGGATGTCAAGGAAATAAGCAGCTATCCTATTTTTAAAAGACACCTGAAGTCAGTCGCACAATCACACAAGTAGCTGAACTGCGTTCCACACAGTCGCAAAAACAAATGAACTGAAAAGGCCTCAAAAACAAAAACGCAAAATAAATAGCAAAAGCAAAACAATAAGAAATTCTTTTGAGATTTACGCCGTAATGCTTTTTTTCATTGATGTGGAAAACTGGCAGTCATGTTTGTGCTTATGCAAACCCTCCCTTACCGTGTGCCAGACAAAGGAGGGAGATGGAAAGCCTCCAGTGATGCAGCTCTTTTAATAAGTAGATTAAACAAAAAAAAAACCATGCTATAGCTAAGATGGATTGATTGATTTCTCTCTCTAGTATTGCCATTACGTCGCTGGCCTGGTGGGCATTGGCCTGTCCCAGCTCTTTTCTGCGTCGAAGCTGGAAGACCCCATCGTCGGGCAGGACACAGAGCTGGCCAACTCCCTGGGGGTTTTCCTGCAGAAAGTCAACATCATCCGGGACTACTTGGAGGATGAGCTCGAAGGCCGGGAGTTTTGGCCCAAAGAGGTAAAGCAAGGGGCGACAAGAGAGAAGAGAGGGAAAGCTGTGACATTTGGTCCAGGGGATGGAGACCACCTGTTTTGATGGAACACGAGAAATGGGCCTTTTCCGCGGTGGCTCCCCACTGGTGGAGAGACTCGCCTGGCATATCTTTAGATGCCAGGCAAAAACATTCCTCTTCTCCCAGGCCTTTGCCTAATTAAACAACCTATGGCCTTTTAAACTCTTATGTGTGTGGCAGGGTATTGTCTTTATTTGATGATGATGATGATGATGATGATATATAATTTATTTATACCCTGCCCATCTGGCTGGGTTTCCCCAGCCACTCTGGGTGGCTCCCAACAGAACACCAATATCAGTAATAAAAAAGCAACAACATCAAATATTAAAAACTTCCCTAAAAAAGGGCTATGATACTATGGTATGTATTTTGTGGTTTTTATAAAATAATAAATAATATATTTTTATAAATATATATTATATTATATTATTTTATAAATAATAAATAATAATAATTTTTATACTCCGCCCATCTGGCTGGGTTTTCCCAGCCACTCTAGGCAGTTTAAAACATATCTAAAAATAATAATAATAAATCAGTCATTAAAAACTTCCCTAAACAGGGCTGTCTTTGGGTGACGGGCAGTACAGAAATTTAATAAGTAAATAAAAGTTTTTTATATATATATATATATATATATATATATATATATATATATATATATATATACACACACACACACACACACACACACACTAAGCCTCCTCCCCACAAGGAACTAGATATGTAGGCTGTTGCTGGGTATTTTGATCTGCTTCTAGTTTATTGCCGAATTTATTTAATTCCCCACCACCTGCAATGTTTAAAATAGTTTCTTTCGGCTAGGTTTTTTGTTTGTTTTGTTTTTACCAATAATTGTATTGCTTTGTTCTCTTTGTAAACCCCTTTGAGGTTTGCTTTTTAAAAACAAAACAAAGAAAGTGGTGTGTGGATTTTACGAAATAAATATATAATAAATGGGGACAAAATGTATCGAGTCGGATAAAAACCAATCATTTAACAAAACTGGAATAAAATGAAAGTTGCAAACGAACAGACAGACACCACACAAGCTTAAATACGTAAGCAAAGAACTAGTGGGAAGAGGAAATTCTCAGGGCAGGGCTGCATAGCCACTCTCAGTTCACATCCTGCATCAACGGGGGTCAGACTAGATGACCGTTGGGGGTCCCTTCCAGTTGTATGACTCTGATAGCTTCTCGGTGTCTCCCAGGTTTGGAGCAAGTACGCGAAGAAGCTGTCTGACCTGACCAAGCCGGAGAACATCGACAAGGCTGTTCAGTGCATGAATGAGCTCATCACCAACGCCTTGCACCACGTCCCTGACGTCTTGACGTATTTGTCCCGCCTGAAGAACCAGAGTGTCTTCAACTTCTGCGCTATTCCGCAGGTGGGTAGGGGCGCGTGGCTTGCAAAGCTGTCTCCCGCTTCGGAGGTGCTCTTCTGTTTCCCTTCATCTCCCATTAACAGGGCCGGATTCAGGTTTGATGAGGCCCTAAGCTACTGAAGGTAATGGGGCCCTTTATATGTCCAGCCGTCCTTTGTCAACAACAAATTGCCACTGTGTTTTTTTTGTTGAATATATGCTATATGTGGAAACAAAACAAAACAAAATTCCTTCCAGTAGCACTGTTTAGATTTGGGCAGCTTTTCTGCTGTACAGTCATACCTCGAGTTGTGTTTGCTTCACGTTGTGTTTTTTCAGGTTACAAATGTGCTAGTAAGCTTTCCTTTGCAGAGTGCTGTACATTGCTCTGAATTTATTTGTATCTAATGACCTTTTTTTAAAAAAAGCTTTATTAGAACAATACATACATTTTACAAAACAATAACAACAAACTGAAACACCAAAAACATCACATGAAGTTCAGATAACACAAGGGGATGAATGGAAGTCAAGAGAACATGTATCTAATGACCTTTGATAGCCCAGAATCAAGCAGGATTGTTTTTGTGACTTCTCTTCTTCTCCCCCCTCCACTCCTGGTCCACAGGTGATGGCCATCGCCACGTTGGCTGCCTGCTACAACAACCAGCAAGTCTTCCGGGGAGTGGTGAAGATTCGGAAGGGACAAGCTGTCACTCTGATGATGGACGCAACAAACATGCAGGCTGTTAAAGCCATCATGTACCAGTATGTGGAAGAGGTGAGTTCATGATCGCCGTAGGTTTTATTTCTGTGCCTCTTTTCCATGGTAGAACCATACTCAAAGCGTCTTACGCCAACATACAGAATAAAATACAGCAACATTTCAAGGTAAGTTACAAAACCAAACTCAACTTAAATGAACATCAACAGGGCAAACGAAAACCTCACGTCTTCTAAAAGTTGCATAGTGTGGTTATAAACTTGAGATTGGCAAACCTCAGTCAGTTGACCTACTGGTGGGGCTGGAAATTAAGGGCAGACAAATTTGGGGGCTGCCTGCTGTGGCGTTTGCCTCCTAGGTGGGTCGTAAGGAGAGGGTTAAAATGAGTGTGATGTGATTGGCCAGTGGAAACTGATAGGAGGAGTTAGAGTGAGAGGGTGTTGTGTGGAAGTTAGTTGAGAGTTGGGAGTTGAAGAAGGAAGAGGGAGGATATAAGTCTGTGGTTGATCGAGTTGTGTGGTGAAAGAATGAGAGGAAGTGTTAGGTGGAGTCAGATAGTTAGTTGGGATAATCAGTTTGAAGTTGTTAGGAACGAATAGGACAGTTAAGGAACTAAGATTAAGAAACTGCCAAGAAAAACTAACTGAAACCATAAGCTTGTTCATGCCTATAAAATAAACTTGATTATTTGTTAATGATACCAACTGACTGGTCTCCGTGTGTACCCGTGAGGAGAAACGGCTTGGTGGCAGCGAAGAAAGCAAACACAGTGGTGGCACAGGGTCAGTAGACCGTCAAACGTCCCGGGGCCCTGTCTGATCGCCACACCTGCTTTATTTGTTTTGAGGTGAATTTGCTACTAGTTTGTTGCTGTAATAAGACAAGGCTACTTTGCTTCTGGGATGCGGGTGGCGCTGTGGTCTAAACCACAGAGCCTAGGACTTGCCGATCAGAAGGTCAGTGGTTCGATTCCCTACGAAGGGGTGAGCTCCCGTTGCTCGGTCCCTGCTCCTGCCAACCTAGCAGTTCGAAAGCTCGTCAAAATGCATGTAGATAATTAGGTACCACTCCGATGGGGAGGTAAACGGTGTTTCCGTGCACTGCTCTGGTTCGCCAGAAGCGGATTAGTCATGCTGGCCACATGACCACATGTGGACAAACGCCGGCTCCCTCGGCCAATAAAGCGAGATGAGCACAGCAACCCCAGAGTCGTCCGCGACTGGACCTAATGGTCAGGGGTCCCTTTACCTTTACCTTTACTTTGCTTCTGGTGTGTTAAGGCAATAAAAGGCGGCCACTTCGCTTCTGGTGTGTTGCTGTTATTAAACAATAAATAACAGCAGAGCTGTTTGGATGAATGCTGCCTTAGTGAAAGCTGGTTCTTCTCTCCTGCAGATCCATCAGAAGATCCCAAGTACAGATCCTTCCTCCAGCAAGATACAGCAGATCATTGCCTCTGTCCGATCCGTTAGCCTACCCAGCGGCGCCCTGGTCTCCCGGACCCATTACTCTCCCATCTACCTGTCCTGCGTGATGCTCTTAGCTGCGTTGAGCTGGCAGTACCTGAGCACCGTGTCGAAAGCCGCAGAGGAATACGTCCATACAGGCGAGAACTGAGATCAGATTTCCCAGGATGCCACGCCCTTCGCTCCGGGATGGAATATGCTGCTGTTATTATTTCCTTGCCCCTTGGGAATGGGAGAACTGTTGGAGAAGGGCTTGGAACCTTGCAAGCTAAAGTTGGAGCCAGAAGATTTCACCTAGAAAGCAATTACTTGCTAGCTTTGAAGCGTCTAACAAATTGCAGTTTCCAGACCTCTAATTTTTTCCTTCCTCTTTTGGAAGAACTGGTTACAGGCAAGTCTGTCATTGGAGTCTGTCTTAATATATTTTTCCTTCCATTTCTTTCCTGCAGACCTGTTTGGATCTGCGTCTTTTTGTGTGTTTTTGACATAGAGTGTTTTTTAACTAGAGTGTTTGAAGGTGCCTCTTTGTCGCTTGTGAATTTTGACAGTAAAAAGGGAAAGAAAAAAATACTGCGATGAAGCCTCCTGCTCTCTTTTTCTTCTGTTTTTATTCAAGTTGTTAAAATTCAGCAACCAAAGCAACACAAGAGTCCATGATGTGGTTATCTTGAGTCGGGCTTATTTAGAAATCACAGCAAGTTCTAATATTTACCAAGGATTTACCCCGGCTCGTTTTAGAACGGGCCTTCTCTGCAGTGACTCCCCGTCTGGCGCCTTAGGTGCCAGGCAAAAATGTTCCTTTTTCAGCAGGCCTTCGGTTGATCTTACTGACATCCAACACCCTTTTAGAATGTGGTTCTTTTCTGGAAGGGTGTTATTGGGTTATTGTTTTTGGTTTGATTTTATATGTTGTGGTCTTGCTTGTGAACCGCCCTGAGACCTCCGGGTATAGGGCGGTGTATCAATTGAATTAATAATAATAATAATAATAATAATAATAATAATAAGCAGCAGCAGACCTTTGACACGTTTCTCCCACCACAGACCCCTCTGGCAAACCTTAAAGGTTAGATTTCTATATTGTAAAGCTAAGCTAAGGGATTTTGTGGTAGTAACAAAACACACATTGTGGGTGGCATCCTTGTTTTCACAGAGGGATTCTTTGATGTGGAACGTGGATTGCAAAATGCACACAACTGACAGGCAATTTCTTTGCTTCTGGTTGGTGCAAAAGCCTATGAGTTTGAACAGGCATCCCCAAACTTGGCCCTCCAGCTGTTTCTGGACTACAACTCCCATCATCCCTAGCTAACAGGACCAGTGGTCAGGAATGATAGGAAATGTAGTCCCAAAACATCTGGAGGGCCGAGTTTGGGGATGCCCAAGTTTGAGGGTCAGCATTTGAGAAGCAGGCTCACTCGCTTTCAATCCTGTGACTGGCTTTGTTCTAAGATGCTCGAGGCTCCCAGGCGTTGTTGGACTACAACTCCCATGATGCAGAGGCAGCAGTCATGGATGATGGGAGCGGTAGTCCAACAACATCTGAGAGACCAAGCTAGAGAATGCTTTAGACCAGTCTTTCTCAATCTCCCTTATTTGGAGAAGAACGTCTATTGTGTGTGTTCTCAAAAAGGTCTGAGGCCAGGCTGCTGAGATGGGCCCTTTAATAAAAATAACTTGGGGACAATCAGTAGAATGCATCATTGTTCCTAGGCAAGGGGCTGTTTTTATGTTCAGTAAAGGTAAAGGGACCCCTGACCGTTAGGTCCAGTCGTGGCCGACTCTGGGGTTGCGGCGCTCATCTCGCTTTACTGGCCGAGGGAGCTGGCGTACAGCTTCCGGGTCATGTGGCCAGCAGAACTAAGCCGCTTCTGGCAAACCAGAGCAGCGCACGGAAACGCCATTTACCTTCCCGCTGGAGTGGTACCTATTTATCTACTTGCACTTTGACGTGCTTTCGAACTGCTAGGGGGGGCAGGAGCAGGGACCGAGCAACGGGAGCTCACCCCATCGCAGGGATTCGAACCGCCGACCTTCTGATCGGCACGTCCTAGTTTAACCCACAGCACCACCCCCGTCCCTTTCTGTTCAGTACATCTGGTCAAAACAGCTTCAATTTATTTTATTTTTTTTAAAAAGCAGCACAGAGTATAGAGAGTCTTGGCTATTCCACAGCCAGAGTTTGAGCACTTCTGCTTTGCATCTTCACTTCCTGGCCCATTTCCTCTAGAGCAGCCTTCCCTAGCCTGGTCCGTGCCAGATGTTTCGGATTGCAGCTGCCCTGGCTGGCGCTCATGATGTTGCAATTCACAACATCTGGAACGCATCGGGCTAGGAAAGGCTGTTCCAGAGTAGACCTGGCAAACCTGTGGCCTAGCTGCAGACTCCCAGCTCCTATCTGCCCCTGCCAACATGGCCACTTGAGGCTTGTAAGCCAGCAGCATTGGCCAGTCCCAGGTGTCCCAGGCCTACTCTAGAGGAAGCCCTCTTTCAGTACTCTGAACCATATCTATCCTGGCTCTGATCCATTTTATGCTTAATGGCGGTGTTTGTGTGCATGTGTTTTCCATTGGCAGGGGGAGGGGGGACCCACTGGAGCAACTTTCCAAAAGAAAAATTCAGTTTGTCAAATTCCCTTGGCTGCTTTTCCAGACCTCAAGTTTCTGCAAAATGTGGATCCCCTTGATCTTTGGTTTTTGAAAACTTGGGACGGCTGCAGCTTTGCTTGAGAGAGCTCTGATTAGTTTGCCAAATATTCTATATTCTGGAATAGTGTAGAACTCAAGCATTTCATAAGGGGAAAAAAGGGTGCTGTGTTACATAGATCTTGCAAGAACCGGTCACTTGATGACATCGGGGGGGGGGGGGCGGTTGCCCTTTGAACATCTTGCAGCTCAGGCCTTGAATTATATCTCCCAGGAAGGGCAGGGGGAGGCCAAGAAATTTAACCTTCGGAGTAAAGAGTTTGTTGACTGTCTTGTCTGCGTGAAGACTGCTGAATCAGGCAAACACTGAACTTTTCCAACAGGGCACCTCCATTTGTATCATATCCAGGCTAAGCTGCACCTGCAACAAAATGTTGCAGTGCTGGGGAGATGCTGTTCACACTCACCCATCTAGTAATCCCACAGGTGCTATAGGTCTTTGCTAAAAACAAAAAAACCCCACCTATTTCCAGCTTCCTAATCCTACCTCTTAAGTAGTGATAAAGCATCTACTTCACACGTAGAAAGTCCGTGTGTGCAACACTTCGCCAGATGGACCAAATTGCTCTGACTGTACATAAAAGCAAATTCCCGTGTTTGCCCCACAAGCCTCCTATGGGCTCCTCTCTTGGGCATTTGAAGCACGCAGCAAGGAGCCACAATGATTACTAAAAGACCTTTGGTGGAAGACCAACCTTCCTGTGGCAGGGGCTTTTGACTATTTGACCTAGTGTTGAGAGTGTTTGTGTCTTTGTGTCTGTTGGGCTGCATGATGCCAGAGTGCCTTCTAATTCCTGGATCCAGCAAGAGTTAAAATAATAGATGATTTCCCCCCCAAACCTTATACTGTATAAGGTAAAGTACCCCTGGACGGTTATATGGGGTTGCAGCGCTCATCTCGCTTTCAGGCCGAGGGAGCCAGCGTTTGTCCACAGCTAGTTCTTTGGGTTATGTGGCCAGCAGGACTAAACCGCTACTGGTGCAACGGGACACCATGATGGAAGCCAGAGCGCACGGAAACGTCGTTTACCTTCCTGCCACAGTGGTCCCTATTCATCTACTTGCACTGGTGTGCTTTCGAACTGCTAGATTGGCAGGAGTTGGGACAGAGCAAAGGGACCTCACTCCGTCAGGGGGATTTGAACCGCCGACCTTCTGATCTGCAAGCCCAAGAGGCTCAGTGGTTTATACCACAGCACCACCCGCGTCCCTGTATATGACATCAAAAGTCTCACATCAAATATAACTGATCTGTAGACTTTACAATCTGAAAATAGACACAATCGTGTTCTTTTGTAACCCCAGAAAATATTTAATAAAAAAACAATTAAAAAAGCAACCCCATTGCTGAATTAGTAAGGCAAGGACTATTATTTATGACCTCTAAGTATGGATTATTCGAACGAGAAAGGAAGTTACCTATGTCAAATGTGAATAAACAATATACTGCATCCTAAAGATGCCAGTCTCTGCGGTCCCTCCTTCCCAGGAAGCAAAACCCTCTGTAAACACCTGGAACCCCTGGAATCTTGCACTGATCAAAGATTGTGGTGCCGCATAATACAGCATAAAGGCTGAAGTGGTCATTGCTTAATGAGCATAGTTGGGAAGGAACAAACAGATTGTGGATCAGAAACAGAAGTCAAAACCTAAAAGCAGCCAGGAGACAGATTTCGAGTCTCTTCACTGCAATTGCCAATAGACTTGCACAAGAGGAAGAACTTTCAGACAGAGCTGAAGTTGAGCGGCCATCTGTCAGGGATGCTTTAGCAGAAATTCCTGCATTGCAGGGGGTTGGACAAATGACCCTCGGGCCCCCTTCCTACTAAGATTCTATGACTCTGATCAGATTGCTTGGCCTTTGATGAATTTGGGGCCCCTCTAAGATGTCTTGGAGGGACGCGGGTGGCACTGTGGGTTAAACCACAGAGCCTAGGACTTGCCAATCAGAAGGTCGTCGGTTCAAATCCCCGTGATGGGGTGAGCTCCCGTTGCTCGGTCCCTGCTCCTGCCAACCTAGCAGTTTGAAAGCACGCCAAAGTGCAAGTAGATAAATAGGTACCGCTCCGGCGGGAAGGTAAACGGCGTTTCCGTGCACTGCTCTGGTTCGCCAGAAGTGGCTTAGTCACACTGGCCACATGACCCAGAAGCTGTACGCCGGCTCCTTTGGCTAATAAAGCGAGAGGAGCGCCGCAACCCCCGAGTTGGCCACGACTGGACCTAATGGTCAGGGGTCCCTTTACCTTTACGATGTCTTGGACCACAGTTCCAATTGGGCTCAGCCATCGTAATTGGAACTGTGGTATGAAACAACTGCAAGAAGGCCCAGTTGCTCAAAAGCTGGCCTAGTTCATACCAAACAGACCCCACCCTTCCGAGTGCAATGTGGTTCAAAAGCCTGAACATGTATGCAGCCTCCCCTCCCAAAATAGCAGCTCTAATATTCAAGCGTGACCCTGAAGCACGTTCTTACCCTCAAAGAATTCTGGGCACTGTAGTTCGGCTCCTACAGAGCTACAGTCCCCAGCTACCCGCAACAAACTACAACGCCCAGAATTCCTTGAGGGAATGAACGTGCTTTAAAAGTACAGCATTTTGTATATGGAGCTCTATAGTATGGTTGGGGTTTATCATCACACCATTTTCTCCACCAGCAGTAGCTAAGGAGGCAGGCATGCACACAAGACCAGGAAGCGTAAAACTTTTACCCCAGAACTGCTGCGTAATACATACCACTTCCCAGGAAAACACAAAACCGTTTCTGGCCACCAGGGAGAAGAATAAGAACTTACTATATAGCCAGGTAATGCGGCCTTTATTGTAGAGAGAAGAGACAAATTGACAAATCTTGTGATCGCAACAGCAGCCAATTGTAATACATGGTTCTTGTCAAATGCAAAAAAGGGGGTGGGGTGGTATTTCGAGTTGGAAGCTAGTGAAATGAGGAAGATGAGTGTATCTGTCTTCTTCCCAACCGCTGGCTGCATGCTTTAGTTCATTTCCGTAAAAACACAACTTGGTAATTTGAAATAGCAAAAATAGGTTTGTTCTTTACGTAACTACCAGCTGCTCATGCACAAGCCCAGCTCTCCTAACAGAATAGGTGATTTTTAAAAAATTGAGTGTCATCACTTAACATCTTAATTTAAAAACGAAACAAAGGCAGAGTCATTCCCTCCTGCCGCTGTTAAATGCAATTATAATCGAAAGCTGGCTTTCAGGCACCAGCGAACATGATGGCGTGGTAATCCAATAAAGCCAGATTAAAATAAATCAAACATCATTTCACATGGAGATTGCAACAGAGGAGGAGTGCTTGGCTGTCTGTCGCACTTTTGGGGCTGGGTCGGTTCAGAAATAAGGCCATGGGCCTCTGAAACCACCTCACTTTTCCCCTACCCAATTTAGGGGCATGTTGAGGCAGCTGGGGAAACATATCCTTTTAACCTCTTGGCACTGGGAGACTGCAGCCAAGGCCGTTGGATCAACTGTATTGGCTCTGCAGCAACTCAAGAGAAATTCCAGAGGATTGTTGCAATTAAGGCTTGGAAGAAGACGTTTCAGATTATCATCACTGAGGTGGTAAAAGAATGAATGGGGGCTGCATTCACTTCCACCTGTGCTGGAAGACTCCCCAAATTCAGCTCTGCAAATTGTCTGTCGCTGGCAGCCCAGCAAGGCTTTGTGTCGAACCCAAGCCACGTGCCTCTCGGCTCAAAGGCAGACTTTGCCAGAGGGAGCAGCGCAACACAATTAAAAACCAAAAATTATCCGAAAGCTTTAATAATAAAAATAAAAAAAGCCAAAGTCTAAAATGTCTTGCATGAAACTTTCGCAACCCCAGCCGCTTATTTTCTCCACAGGTACGATCAATTGATTATTTGCAGAAGGGCTAACTGGCTGGATTCAAGAAAAGCGGTTTTACAGCTGTTTCCAGTACTGGCTGGTCCGAGGGATGCCAGCGACAATCTCGGATTCGATTCCACAGTGGTCCTCCCCGCGGAGAATTCTGAAGAAGCCTAGGAGGAACGCAGAGGAATAATGCCTTAGTGAAGTGTCTCCAAGCCTGAGAGCTCTCAGCTAGGCAAAGAGAAGCAACCTTTTAAACCCTGGAGCGTTTTTGTGCAAGCGAGATGGGACACAGAAGCAGCCTTTTAACAATTCCTGACTGCTATGATTTGCATAAGTCAGGCAAATAAGCATAAGCATAAGCTAGGCCCCCGTGGCAGTTTATTTCTCTCATATATATCTAGCCCATGTACACACGCTTACATACACACACACACATATACACATATGTTTTTGACATGACATTTTCAACAATTATTAAACATACTTGTATATCTTATACAATGTTTTTTTGACTTCCATCAATCACATCTGAAAATTTTCCAATCTTCACTTAATTCACGTTTCTGACTTTCACTGTTACATTTAAATATCATAACTAATGTCTATCTTCTTTGTGATATTTCTCCTTACAAAACTTCTTGTAGTCCTACTAGCGTAAATTGTTGATTACAGTTGCTCTTCAGTGGCAGTTTATTTCTATTTCCTGGTGTAAAATCCTAAAAAAAAACACCCCAACAACTTCAATCTTAAAAAAAGGTCAACAACTTTGGTCGGCCCTCATGGCCCTTCATTTCATCAAATCTGGCCCTCTTTGAAAAAAGTTTGGACACCCCTGGCATAAGACAAGGAATAGCTCATTGATTGGGTCTTGTTCCAGATACTCTCATTGACTTATGCAAATCACAACAGGTATTAGGCATTGTTTTTAATAATAAAAGAACACAAGCTACTCTTTGAAATCAAGCTGAGTGTCAGATGTTTTCACGACAGCCTTGGCACCGAACAGTATACAAAGAAATGAAAGATGCTTTTTCTCCTGCAAAGACACAGCCCAGCCACTCAGCAAGTTATCACCTGAACAAGCCAGGGCCCCGTAAGGCCACCTACCATTTTCACCCCAGTCGGTGTTCCAGGAGTTTGCAGCCAGCCAATAGGGAGTGCCATTGTCAACGCCCCAGCCGAGGATTCGGATCGCGTGGCCGCCAACTTCCTCTCCAGAGACATGCTGATATACGCCTGCAATAATGGAAGAAAGTGACTGTGTGATGGCCTGGGATTCGGACTCGGATGCTGAACCTGAGGAATCCCAGCCTGCACAGGATTCCCAGCCTCCAGAGCCAGCTGAGCCGGGGATGGGGCATGAGCCTGAAGGGTCCTCACCTGTGCTGGATCCTCAGGTGCAGGCACCAGCCGAGTCTGCTCTGGCTCCTGAGGTGGTGGAGGACCCATTGCCTGCAGGTGCTCCACTCTCAGCCCCGTCAGAGGAAGCTGAGGCTGCCTCTGGGTCCGGTAACCCTCCAGCCTCTCCTAAGCTGCAGAGGCTCAGGGCAGAGAGGCTGAGGGAACTAAGTTCCTGCAGGAGGAGTGCTCGCCTCTAGGCCAGGAGAGGCGAGTCACCAGAGGATCGGGGCCGCCCTGTGCCTCGTGCGAGCCAGCCAGCCAGCCACAGGTTGCGGGAGCAACAGTGTTGGTTGCTAGTTCCTGCCTGAACCCTGTCCTGCTTTCCTGCCTGAGCTCCTGACCAGCCCTGGCTCCCTGCTTGCAAGCCTGTTCCTGACTTCACCCGACTCCCTGCCCTGCACCCAGCTTCAGCTACTACAGACTGCCTCCATGTTGCACCTTTGTCCACGGACCGGACATGGACCTTGCCTCTCGGGTAACCCACGGGACCAGCATAGACTGTAACTACATCTAAAAACCAAAATGAGCAAAGGGACGTGGGATGGAGCAACTCCACAGATGTTGTTGATGTTGGCATCAGTCCGTCTCAAAAGACAATGGAGCACGCCTCCAGGGGTGAAGTCAAACTGCTGTGTTAGCAGCACCCTGGGGTGGAAGCCTGGGCAGTATGTATGGAGGTGCTGGGCTACCCAGACAAGAAGACCCACCCGCTCGGCCTCGCTGATATGGTACAAAGGAAAGCAAAGCATAGCTATCAACTTTCAGGTTTGAAAATAAGGGATCAGCAGCCTTGAAAATAAGGGATCAGCAGCCTCACTTGTCCCAGGGACAGTCTATGGGATATCTAACAATCCGGGATAGCAGCGGGAATCAGCAGGAAATGGCGCAGGAATAAGGGAATTTCCCGCAAAAAAAGGGAAGGTTGACAGCTATGGTTTGGTTCCAGGAGTTTCCAGAAGGAGGTGTGCAAGGCACCATCCAACCACCTTAAGGACTTCACTCCATATTTGTGGAGGGTTTACTCGTTCACCTTTTCTTCTAGGGAAGAGGTGTGGCCCGAACAGACTCCCAGGGGCCAGGCAGAGAGGTCCA